CACACACAGCCTCCTGACGAGTCAGCGAAAAAAAGTCGGAAGAAGCACTCAGGCATGGTCATCCATTGTATGTTGGGTTGTGGATATCGGACATGACAAAACACACAGAGAGACAGAGTGGTCGTTCCTGGCTGAGTGTGTGTGTAGACTCTGTAGAGTAGGTTTTATAGCTGTTGTGATACGGATGAATTTCCGAGACCCATTGCTGTTCTCACCAGTGGCTTGAAGTAGATAGTCTCCTGCCGGTTCCCCCCCCGCCAGATAGAGAGCATGGTAATTATCGCTGTATCTGGACTGAAAGTGGCGCCAAATAAATGCATAATGACTGTCCGTTCTATTCGGCAGAAGACAGCATTATTGCAAGGTTGGTCCCAAGCCTCAAGGGCATTTCTTCGACTTCGGGTCGTTTTGCAAGGGGTATTTGTGCAAACAGATCACTCAAGCGCGTCCTGTGCAGACTGTGGAAGTTCAACCTGCTCGTGAATCTGTGAAAGTCTGAATGTGGACGTGTTTGTGGACTTTCCCAGATTGATCTTAGGGCCAGATCCCACTGGCAAAGAGGATTGGAAGAAGTGTCTGAATGTGGACGTGTTCCACGCAGAGGTGCAGAAAAGTAGATCAATCACAGTTTTTGGCACCTGTCCACAAACACGTCCACATTCAGACACTTGCTGCAATCCTCTTTGCCAGTGGGATCTCGCCCTTAGGGGACTGGCATTTTCCCTTATTTCTGAAGCAGCAAAGGTACTAGTCGGTTATGGGCCTTATGACGAACATCCCTTGAGGCAACCATGCAGACAAGATTAGGCCCTGTGTGAAAGGATGACACGCATAAATCGAGAAATGGTCCTATATTTGTCTTTTAAAAAAAATGAAGGACCATAATGATGACATAATGAAGAATGTTATGTATGTTTTACAGTTTTTACTATATTATATTATCTATATTCCGACAAAGATATTCTGAAAAAAAAAAAAAAAAAAAAAAGTGCAGATGTTTCCTGTTGTTGAACAGATGAATCTGGCATCCTTTACTGTCAAGGGAGATTCTGGGTGGTGGTCCAACGAGCAAAGACGATCGGATCGAATCACTGAATGTGGACGTGTTTGTTGAGAGGTGCAGGAAATCGAGATTGAAGTTCATTGAACTGCTTTTCTGCATCTCTGCATAAAACACATCCAGATTCTGGCATTCGATCCGATCCTCTTTGCGCGTGGGACCTCGGCCCTGGAAGATTTTATGCACTGCTTTTCTGCATCTCTGCATAAAACACATCCAGATTCAGGCATTCGATCCGATCCTCTTTGCTTGTCGATCAGTTACCGAGATGCCGCTCTAGGAGATCTCGCTCGTTCTGTGTTGCAGCTTTTTTTTTTTTTCCTACTATGCTTGTGCAATTCATCCTTTTTTTCTTTTTTTTTAGTTTTTTCTTTTTTAATATCATGTGGACGGATGGAACTCAGAAAAGACATAAAAGCTAGGCTACCAGCCGGGCCCCCCGGGTCACCCTATTTTCCCGGGCGGCCCGGCCGTGCAAGGACCAGGGAAGGTCCCAGGCTCCCAGCCAAAAAAAAACAAAAAAAAATGAAAAACTCCGAAAAATCCGAAAAGAAAAACTTTGTTATGCAGAAAAATAATCTGAACAACTTTTGCCTCAGGGTCACATCGAAATTCTTTACCAGATTTAAAAATAAAAACTTTTTTTTTTTTTTTTTTTTTTTTTTAAATGTCTTTTTGGCCCGGCCGGGCAAGTGGCCTAGCTTAATTAAACCGATCAGAAGAGTCGGAACAGATATTAGACTATTATTAGTATATTACAGTGTCTTTTTTTTTCTTTTTTTTTTTTCGACCAAAACAAGTTCCCAGCATATAATAAAGTACTTTATCTTAGCCAAAGGCAGAGAAAGGTATTCTTGAGTACACAATTCATTGCTTATATACACCCAAGGGGATGGAGATTGTTTTGACGCGAGGAGCACACTCCCTCCCCCCACACACAGGGTAAGGAGCGAATGCGTAGTTACACAAAATCCATTCACACATGCGTTCTCCTTTTCTCTGTTGGTGGCTGTTTTGCTCTCCTGATTTGCCGCCTCCTCACAGTGCAAGGCCCCCCGAGCAGGCAGGCGTAATAACGACACACCCTCACCCAGAAGGAGAGGTGCTTCTGGCAGTGGATCTGCGTCCGTTGGCTCCAGCTTCTCTGAATTGGTTGCGAATGGGCACCACTTTGAGGGCTTATCTGTTCACACCCCCCCTCAACGCCCAAGCTTGCACCAGGTGGTGTCCCCAACATCAAGAAATCCTTCGAGTTTGAGAGTGGGAAACGTTCATAGCAAGTCCTTGCCCAACATCGCGGACGCGAACGGTGCGACGATCAACGACATAGTAGCGACGGCGGCTCCGTCGCCGCAAGGTGTCGCTGCAGCGCCATGTCAAGTAGCTCATCCTCAAGGAGCTCATAAGGAGAGACCGGAGAGGGGTTCGGGCAAGTTTAGGCCGCAGGGGGGAAGCGATGGGAACATAGCAGGTAGAGTGACAGAGAGAAGGGATTCCGGCAGTGGTGCGATATCGGAAGTGACGATGCTATCGACGCATAATAAGGAAAAGGGATCGGGGAGAATGAGGGTACCGGGACACTCAGGAAATGAAGGAACTGGAACGACTCCCGGACGAGGAGGAGGGGTGGAGCGTAAGGGAGGAAGAACAAGAGAGCACCACAGAGCGAAGAGATCCGACGGAGATGACAGTCAGAATCTGGCGGTGCGTGAACACTCTGGAGCAATGCGTGAACACTTTGGAGCTTCTCCGACGGCGGCAGCAGATGTCGTTCCCACTCAAACAAGCGTGCTCCCGCCGAGAGAGGTCGGCGTTTTGCAGGACGACAAGGAAAGTGGTGGTGGGCCTGCGGAGAGAATGACGGACGATAATGAGAGCGTTAGCAGCGATTTGTCAGATACTCGAAACAACAACGACAACAACAACAGCAACAGCAACAGCAACAGCAACAGCAACAGCAACAAGAATAACTGTTGTGGTGAGAAAGGCAGAAGATCAGTGAATGGCAAAGTCGAACCGGCAAAGTCGAGAACGAGGTCAGAAGCAGAGTACATCGACGTTGCGGCGGCGGCGCGTGCAGCAGAGGAGTCGGCGGAGCAGGTAATGAGGGCAGCCAGGGCGGTGATTAGGTTAGCGCAGAATCAGCTGCAGCAAAGTCTAGGGACCGTGAATAACTCCATCAACGTTCAGGACGGCTAGTAGGTTTCAGTGATTGAGGGCATACTCACACTAGGACTTGATTGAACGAATCTGCCCTCGATTTGGGCCAGATTCGGTCAAAAAAGTCCTAGTTTGAGTATGCCCTTAGTCATCTGAGTGCAGTTCCCCTCGGAATCAGTCAATAACTCCTGCATGGGTCTCAGCTTCATTTAATGGGGTCAGCTTCATTTAATGGGGTCAGCTTCATTTAAAAGGGGTAAGCTTCATTTAAAAGGGGTAAGCTTCATTTAAAAGGGGTAAGCTTCATTTAAAAGGGGTAAGCTTCATTTAAATGGGGTAAGCTTCATTTAAAGGGGTTCATTTGGCAGCTCGTTGGATAATTTAGGGTATGATGATGATGATGATGATTGCAGGACTCCTGTATGGATCCCAGCTTCATTTCAAGGGGTCAGCTTCATTTAAAGGGGTTAGCTTCATTCAACAGGGGTCATTTGGCAGATCCTTGGATTAGGGTATGTCTTCAGGACTCCTGTATGGGTCCCAGCGTCATTTAACGGGGTCAGCTAAAGGGGTTAGCTTTCGCTCAAAGGGGTGGTTTGGCAGCCCCTTGAATAGGGTATGTCTGCAGGACTCCTGCATGGGTCCCATCGCCCATTTAGTGGGGTCAGCTTCATTTAAAGGGGTTAGCTTTATTCAACAGGGGTCATTTGGCAGCTCCTTGGATACCGCATGTCTGCAGGACTCCTGTATGGGTCCCAGCTTCATTTAAAAGGGGTCAGCTTCATTTAAAGGGGTTAGCTTCATTCAACAGGGGTTAGCTTCATTTAAAGGGGTTAGCTTCATTTAACAGGGGTCACTTGGCAGCTCCTTGGATTAGGGTATATGTCGATGCGGCAAAAGCAGGAGTACTCAGTCCCGAGGACTTTGCAACAATCTTTTCACAGCAGGCTTTCGCGCACGAGGGCATACTCGCACTAGGACTTCTTTAAAGTTTTTTTCACTTATTTATGGACGTACTTGTTGCCAGATACAACCAGGTACGGCCATAAATGCGGTCAGATACATTTAGGAGAGAGCTTGGGCGAGACTGAGCCGCTGTTCCAAGGTATACGCCCGTCCAGCGTTCGGTCCCAAAAAGGAAGGCTAGGGATCGCCAGTGTGTATCAAAGCGAGAATTCCAAGATTGCCATTAAAATTTCCGGATCAGTATTATAAAAAAATTATAATATTATTTCCTTTTTTTTTTTTTGACCAAGGCTGATATTACCAATGAGAATTTTGAGGCCCGGGTGCCGATCAGTATTTCCTATTTAGGATTTAGCACCTATCGTGTCACAACAAGCGTGGGCCTGACCCTGGGAACACGATCGGGGGGGGGGAAGGTCCCACTAGCAAAGAGGATTGGATTTAACGCCTGAATGTGGACGTGTTTGTGGAGAGGTGCAGAAAATCATAAATTTTCAATCTGCATTTCTGCAGCCCCGCTCAGAACCCATCCAATTTCAGGCGCTTAATCCCGTCCTCTTTGCTAGTGGGACCTTGTTTCCGCTCTTTTGCTTATTTGGAAATTGGCTTTGGGGTGGGGGGGGGTATTGGGGTCTATAATATGGTTGGGTATTCTCTCTTCTAGTCCTCTGGTGGCATCTGGGCTCGAACTCCGGTCTGTATATCAACAGCTTCATGGGTGTACCAAATGAGCTTAGGCCCATTGGTTGGAAATCGGATTTTTATCATTTTTTATAATTTTCATTATTCGGTTTAGGGTTGGAAATTGGGATTCTCACTTCTGGTCATCTGGTGGCATCTGGATTCGAACCCGGGTCTGTTCCTTCAAAACAGTTTCATGGGTTGGACCAACTGAGCTTAGACCCATTGGTGGAAACCAACTGGGATATTCATTATTGGATTGATGGCGGTCCCGCAATATTGACAATGTTATCTTCCTCTCCCTTTGGTGAAGGTTTGAGGAGGGGAGGGGAGGGGAGGCTGTCTCTTATACACATCTAGATGTGTATAAGAGACAGGAGTAAGAGAAGGATGGAAGGTCAGGCGAAACTTGAAGTGTTGAGCTGGGCGGGAGGATCATGGGATGGCGGCGGGCGGGAATGACAGGAAGGGGTGGGCGACGTCAAGAGTGGGTAGGCGAGCGGTGTTGGTTGAGCGATTGGGTTGATGAGAGGAGGGAGCGGGGAGCAGGGGAAATGAACAGGATTGGCAGAGTAAGTTGGGCGGGCAAAACAGGGTGGGAACGATGGATCTTGGTCGAAGGGGACGGGGGTGGACAAAGGGACAGAGTGGGGGATATCGATAAGGTGACGATAGGGCGAGCGAGGAGAGTTGAGAAGGCAGGAAGGTCGGCAGCGTTTGGACCAGGGGGGAGGGCAAGGAGGGAGTAAGGAGGGCGGAGGGGTGGTTGGGGCGAGGAGGTTGGAGGCTGAATGGTCGGGACGGAAGGGGATCAGGGTGGCGAAGCTAAATTAGGTTAAGCGAGGTGAAAGTCGGGACTTCTGAGCTAGCGGGTATAGCGGGAGAGAAGGCAAACCGGACAAGGAGGGAGGGAGGTAGGTGGCATGGGAGGATTTTATGGGCGGTTGGAGGGGCCAGAACAGGCGGAGCGGTCAGGGAGGTAATGGCATAAAAGCCATCAGCGGGGGGGTGGCGGAGCAATCGAGGGGGGTTGGCAGGTCTGGGTGTTGGAGCGGTCTGGGCAGAAAGGAAGTTGACAAAAGAAGCTTGGGTGAGAGGGAAGAGGGAGAGCATCTTGAGAGAAAGGAAAAGTGGACGTGGGAAAGGAAAATCGGGAGGGTGGGCGATACGAGAGGAAAGGAAAATCGGGCAAGGGGATCGGGATAGAGCAGACCGAGGGGGAGAAGGAATGAGAGAGGCCATGTCGAGAGAGGGTCGGTATAACTGAGTGAGCGAGGGTGAGGCGGGGAGGAGGGGGGGAAGGGTGAAAAAAAAGGGGGCTCTAGATAGGCTGGCAAGGGAGATGGTGGTGCAATCTGGGACCAGGTTCATTCTATTTTTGGAACCAATTGTGGACTGTAGTGGGGCTCCACCCCATGGGTCTTTCTCCGCATTCCTCCCGCAACTGTCTCTTTTTTTTTTTTTTTTTTAAGTCCAGGGTGTTGTAGAGGAGGCCAGTTACAAGGCTCACATTGATTGCCGGAAGCTGTCAGCCATGATTGGCCTCCTTTTTTTTCTTTTTTTCTTCCCTCTCTGCAACTTTGTTTTATTTTATTTTTTATTTTTTAACAACAAAAGGGCTACCATTCCATTATAAGTGGGAAAACGGGTCCCGCGTTCTCTCAAGATCAGTCTGGCGTCAGGATGTCCGCTTCTCTGGAGTTCCTCCATCAGACAGCGACTGCGACAATGTGGCTGCTGTCCTTTGCCCAGGTATGTATGGAAAGTTGGAAACCAGATGATGGTGTTTTTCAGACTTTTTTTTTTTTTTTTCCCCACCCTCTGGATGATGATGTGGTTTATTTATCCCTGCTCGTTCTCACTTTTCTTTTTTTTAACATCAGCCGATGACCATGAAGGTTTCACGATTTGCACGCTTTATTGCAGATGGACGAACAAACTGGAATGGACATCATGTGCGAGCCGGAATTCAGTTCCATTGTCTTCCCCAAAATCTCCCCTCCTCGCATGTTTTTCTCTCTCAATCTGCTGTGTTATTATTTAAAAAAAAAAAAAAAAAAAAAACGTATACACCATGGCGGAATGGTTCCGGTGGTGCATATAACATTGTCTATTCTTCTTCTCTTTTTTTTTCAGCTGTCCATCCCGTCGCCGTACCTGCATGATAAATTTGGGATATCTGATGGTGTCCGTCCGATTCGGATGGATTAGGACAGTGCTCAGCTGATGTGGGGGAATGGAGCGCCAACGTGTTACTTTGTTTTTTTTTTGTGTTTTTTTTTTTTACAAAAAACGGGAACCGGGCCCGGTGTCCTGTGTCATACGAAGGTCATTCAAATCAGTGAGAAAATGAGAAAATGATGAATTACAATGACGAAGAAGACACGAGTTCTTTTTTTTTTTCTTTTCTTTTTTGGGGAGAAAAGAGCAAACTTTATTATTAAAGCCGGAACCGGGCCCGATGTCCCTCACAATGTACGCCGCAGCACTCAGGCTGAGCAAGGCTTTCCGGCCAAGCAGAGCCCGGGCTATGACTGTGGCACCAATGCACCTCCTTTTCCCATTTATGCCCAATCACTCTACTAGCCCAAGCATCTTCCTCACTTTTACGGCAGAGACCTTTTTATTGTACTACCTAGATGTTGTCAACGCATGAAATGAAACAAGCCGCTTCTCAATTTATCACACGTACTATAAAACAAGAAAGATTGAAACCCCACCCGAACGGGTGGGTAATTGGTACATATCATGCATGACATTCAATTCAAAATGAAAGCTATGCACAATGATTTTTGATAAGTTTTGCTAGTAATCTTTGAATTACCTTTTCTGAATTGAACATAGTTTGATTTTGTTTTTGTTTAGGTAGCTCAGTTGGTTAGAGCAAAGGACTGAAAATCCTTGTGAATACTCGGAATTGTGCTTCGCGCCTTTGGTAACTAGTCTGATTAGATCGACATTAAATCAAATCTGGGTATGTATATTGGAAAGGAGTCAATCCAGCCGCAGGTTCCCCTACGGCTACCTTGTTACGACTTCAAGTCCCGAACACAACACAACGCACCCTCATTTTGGCTGTATCTGGCCGGAAATATAGCTTGTATACATTCATTTTTAGGGTGCGTTATGTTCGGGGGAAGACGGTAGCAGTCTCTAGCACTATGTACAGTCAGTTTATCGCCAGGCCTTCATCCAAGGTTTAAGCAAGCCCTTTGTGGCAAAACACTAAACATGAGCAAAAAAAAAAAAAAAAAAAAAAAAAAAAAAAAAAAAAAAAAAAAAAAAAAAAAAAAAAAAAAAAAGAAACATGAGCTCTGTCCTCTGGAACATCTGTTAAAATTGGAGCCATACGGAGAATGAGAATATAATTTTATTTTTTTATTTTTTTTATTTTTTTATTTTTTTTATTTTTTTATTTTTTTTTACAGAGAATGAGAAGATTACCATGATCCAGCGGCCCAACTCAGTTGGTAAGGCACGCAAGTGGCATTCGGGAGGTCGTGGGTTCAATCCCCATGGGCCTCATGTACCTTCCTGGGCATACTTGGCGCCCCGCACCTAGAGATAGTAGACCACTGGATCCCCTGATCGGCATTGAGCAGAGTCTGCTGATGTTCGTAGGGGAGGGGACCACCACCTGAGGGGAGGCACAGGGATTGCTCCTGTTGGCATGGTCCCTAATGCTACCGGCTATCCCCTAGCCGGTATCGCCTACCTGCAGGTCGGGAGCAGCCCCCTCATGTTCTCTCGTGAACACGGTTCTGGCTGCTACAGGGTTCCCCGTATGCCTACAATTAGGTATAGTGGTGGGTAGGTAGTGTGAGGTGAAAGTGAGAGAAGAACATACTACATAGCTTAAAAAAAAAAAAAAAAAAAGATTAGCATGCCAGTGAGCCCTGCACAAGGGTGAGATGCATAAGTCGAAAAATGATCCACTTTGTTTAGAGCGAATGTCCCACCGATTTGCGGTAGGCTAGGCAGAAATTGGCGCCCCATGAAATTCAGGGTGGGCGAAAACAGGATAGAAGGTGGTGGTGGTTTAATAATAATAATAATAAATGAGAGGAATGACATGAGTTCTAGTATTGTGCCACTATTGGCTCAGTCAGTTAGAGCACCCGCATCTCAAGGGACAGGTTTTGGGTTCAAATCCGATCGGCCTCAGCCTGTCCCGCGAATGCACAGGATGTGGCTACACCTGCGGAGTGGTTCCCCAGCCTAGCATAGCTGTTGTAGAACCTGGGACAGCAAGCATGATATAGCTTTTAGGAGGTTAGAGCATTGAGTGATATATCCTGGAAGGGGTTATGGGTTGAAGGTCTAGCTGGGGGATCCTGGGAGAGGTTGGCTGGCCCCGCATCTTTCCCCTTCCCTTCCCTTCCCTTCCACGGGCGGTCAAGGGATTACCAACAAATGTTATACAGGCGTGCGAATTTGAGCGCACAAAAGTCCTACTTCTATCCAGTTGCTCACTGAGAGTTCACAGATCTTTCCAGTGGGGGTACGAGAAATTCTCCATGCAAGAAATGACACTTCAACTAAAACAAAAGAAAGGCGCCCGTAAATCCCTCGCCGGCCAAGGGGCAGTCAAGGACTACCAACATTTTTTTTATTTTTTATTTTTAAAGACATTACAGACTATATTAGCCAGGGTGATACAAGAATCCCTTGCTAATATAGCTGC